TGTTCTGCTACTAACCAAAATGTTGAGGTCCAAACCCACCAGCTATTCCATGGGAGAAGGATGTGACACTCTGTTTCTGTAAATGTTACAGCTAAGGAAACCTAGTAGGATAATTCTTGGCTAATTTAGAGGTAACCTATGGGTAAAAATTGCTTTGGTAGCATTGTTTTTTTATTTTATTTTTTAAAGTGAAAGTAATTTATTTGACTATAGGTTATTACTGTTGATTACCTTGGCGGTATTGTGCAACTTTTGTTGCATACACCGTTTTACCCTTTTCATAACTAAAAAATTCTGAATTCTGAAACATATCTGCCTCCAAAACTCTAGATAAAGTATTACAGATTAGCAAAATATTCTCTTATGCCCTGTGTCACATTGTTTAGGATGAGGGATGAGAGTATTCTTTTTAGAGGTTAAATTGTGGATGCTTTCATGATAATCATGTGATTGAGAATATTAATTTTATGGGACCAGAAAACTGATTAGAAACAACTTTGTCTATATGTAATGCCCAGTAGCTATTTTTGTTTTGTAGTCAATTATAGGCTAGTTTGAATTAATAGAAATGAAAATATCATAGAGATATTTTTGTTGTTTAATTTTTTTATTATTTTCCTTAGGTACAGGTGTAAAATTATTATCCTATATATTTTGCTATTGCTACTGGACCAAAACCCAATTATGACAGTTTTCCCTTCCCCTTACTACTTTCCCCTGATCTAATCATTCTCCCCACCATCTGGATATTTTAGGTTTTTATTTATTTAATTGATAACAAAGATAATTAGAAAGTTACTGGGTAATGTTTGCATAGAGGGATTGGTTTACTTTAGGGAGGAATAGAAGTTTGACAGAGTGCTTGTAGTCCTCTGTGAACCCTTTCTTCTTTCAGTCCATTATTTTGGTAATTGCTAGGGCTGCTTGTTTCTAGGGTGAATTTGTTTCTATAATTAATTCCATTTTGGAGGCTGTAGATCTTTCTGTCCAGAATTTTTGGAAGTTAAGCTAATTCTTTTCTTGTTGAAATGGACAGTATCCTAATAATCAGGATAATGGGTAACTTCCATTTTCGGTTGCCATTGCTGTTGTCTAATTTCACCTGTATACTTGATGCTCCTAAAGTTAATTTGGTATATTTGGGATGTGGTAAAAGTTGACTGTCATAAAGAAGTACTATTTCTGCTTAGGGAAAAGTAAAATAATGGAAGCAAAGTTTTTTGGACCAGATTTTTTCTTATTCTAGATGTGAATCTTTGGATATAAGTAAAGCCTGATAGTTTATAAAGAATGATCTAAAGGGACAGGAATTTAGTCTATATTAAGGTTAAAAAAAATAAGTGCCCAATTTGAGAAAGAAGCACATTTTAGAAAAAAAAAATTACCTCTAGTGTACCAAGTACAATATAAGCAATATGATACAAATTGATGCTCTTCTTTTTAAAGCAGATTTTAATTTAGAATTTTATACATATTCATCTTCATTATTGCTATATTAAACTAAAACCATTACACCAGCTCATTGACTTATTATTTAATCTGGTTCGAAATGTCTACCATTATTTGATCTAAATTTGTTTATATTATTTTGCAAGTTATTCACAAATTTTGGTGGTTTCATTTGTGTCAGTGTGTTGTGTGTGTGTGTGTATGTATATACATATGTGTGGTTTTTTTTTTCTCATATTTTCAACAGATTCTGAAGGGAGTGGTAATGGAAGTGAAGATCCATCAAAGGACAGTGGAGAAGGCTCCTGTAGTGATTCTGAAGAAAATATTTTAGAGGAAGAATTGAATGAAGATATAAAAGTGAAGGAAGAACAAATTAAAAATTCTGCAGAGGAAGAAATTTTGTCATCAGAAAAAGAGTTAATTAAAATGGAAAAGAAAGAGGAAGATGAACATGGAGAAAGATCTAGAAAGAAAAAAGAGAAAGAAAAGGAAAAAGAGAAGGAGAAGGAAAAAGAGAAAGAAAAAGTAACACTATCTGATAATGTGACAGCTTCTGCAACTGTCACCACCCCTTCCATGAGTCCTCACACTGTCAGTGCATCCCCTTCCGTCCCCAGTACGACAAACACAACAGAGGAGCAAGTTAGTGAGCCAAAAAAGTGGAACCTTCGTCGAAACCGACCACTGTTAGATTTTGTGTCCATGGAAGAGCTGAATGACATGGATGACTACGACAGTGAAGATGACAATGATTGGCGACCTACTGCAGTAAAGAGAAAGGGACGATCTGCTTCACAAAAAGAAGGAAGTGATGGAGACAATGATGATGATGAAGATGAGGGAAGCGGGAGTGATGAGGATGAGAATGATGAAGGTAATGATGAAGACCATAGTAGCCCTGCCAGTGAAGGGGTTTGCAAGAAGAAGAAGAGTAAAGTTCTTAGCAGAAACAGTGCTGATGATGAAGAACTGACCAATGATAGCCTGACACTTTCTCAAAGCAAGAGTAATGAGGTAGACCAACCCAATTTTTATGATATCTGTCTGTCTGGGGAAAAGGGAATTCTCTAAATCACTCTACTAGCTGTATTATATGACTTCCTTGAACTAATATTTTTAGACAGCTATGGGAATGAATGAGAGCCCTAACTGTAACATTTTTTTTCATTTGGCCAGCAAGCTTTTATTGAGCATCTACTGTTTGTCACCATTCTCAAGGACCTCACAATCACCGTCCTCAAGGAGCTCACAGTTTATATATTTAGAGAAATTATAAACAGAGATATGGAAAATGGTAGAATTTTCCATTCTCCTTTTTCATCCCCTAACTTCATTGTTCATAGAACTGAAAGGAGTATGAAAACAAAGGCCACCTTTCAACTTAATTGTATCCAATCTACCTACAAATTCAGAGCTTGAATGTAATTTAGATTAGAGCAACAGCTTGGTTAATTAATGCTTGTCTCAAATCTTTAAAACTTTATTTAAATTTACCAATTATGACACCCATCATCTGAATAGTCATGAAATATTTGCTTTATATATGCAGAATATGAACTATATACTTATATATGTATATAGTAAATTAAGTTTCTGCCATGAAACATTTCACTTGATAATTATTAAAACTACAGTAATGGCTCAGTTCTTCATACTACTACTGAAGGTTAGGTTTATCCATTGGGCCCAGAGATGGCAACATTCAAGACTCTTCAAACACATTTGTGTCTCTTTGTCTCTGTGTCTATGTACATGTTTTTCTTCAAATGAAAAGACTGAGTCATCTTCTTACATGTAGATGTACCTGTTACATCACATGTAGAGCTATAAAATGTGGCATTTCTGTTAATGTGTTTTAGTCACCAGAATTCACTGCTTTACCAATCACTTTTTCTTTCTTTGTTTTTCCCCCCCATTTCATTGACGTAGGTTAAATTGATAGGAAGCTTTTCTTTTCTCTGCTTTGTTCTTCCACATTCCTTAGTGCTTAAAAGTTTTACATAGGGATAATTATAGATTGTAATTAAGTTTCATTTAAAAATTTAGGATTTTTCTTACCAAAATAATGTACCATAGGCAATGAGGGGTTGAATTTCAGTAAAGATACAGCAACAGTATGCAT